AGTGTGATAGAAGCTACCCATAAATTTGAAATAGGTTAAATATTAATTTTGATCTCTCAACTTTAATATTTTGCATAATTTTTATTTTTTAATTTTTTTTAATTTTTTTATTTTTTAACTATGAAAAATATACTTTTTTAGTTTTTTGTTAGTTAATCTATTAAATTTATTTAAATATGCATATTTTTAGTTCCTTAACTTAAGTTGAAGGACAAAAAAAAATAAAAATATGCAGATTTATATAGATTTAACGGATTAACTGACGGAAGAACTAAAATAATGCAATTTTCATAGCTAAAGAACTAAAAAAGTGTACAAAAATTAAAAAATGAAAATTGTATAAAACCTTAAGTTGAGGGACCAAAATCGACACTTAACCTTGAAATATCACTGAGTTTCTCATTAAAAAAAAAATTGAACATTGCAATTGCATCCTTTTTCTTTTCCTCTAGATCTATCTCAAATCAATTTTTGATTTCGCTCCTGTTTCTTAAAAATTCCTTAGTCTAACTTTGGAAGTCTTTGGCTTAGACCGGACTTGTCTTGCACCAAATTACCTACCTAATGAAATGAAAGAAGTAAGAACATTAATTTTGTTATGAAAATCATTATTTCTCTGGGTCAGGGACAGCATGGAGGAAGAGATGGTGAATCCTGCGAGGCAATCTTCAAAATACAAAGGGGTGATGCAAAAGCCCAACGGTAACTGGGGTGCCCAAATATATGATCATAACCAACGCATTTGGCTTGGAACTTTCCAATCCGAGCTTGAAGCAGCCCTGGCTTATGACAGCGCTTCATTGAAGCTTCGTTGGGGAGGAGCTCACCGGAATCTCCCGTGGACATCGAAAACTACCGAGGAGGTCAAGTTCCAGAGCCTTCACAGCGCTGAAGAAGTCTTGAAGATGATCAGAGAGGGCTCTTATCTTTCCAAGTTTTTGGGACATGCAAGGTCTTGTCATCCCGGACATGGTGTGGAAGTGGTAATGTGGAGGGAATTGTTTCACAAGGAGCTGACATCAAGCGATGTGGGTGCGCTCAACAGGTTTGTCATCCCCAAAAGACACGCCACCAAATACTTTCCGGATATTCATGGCAGGGGAGGGAGCGTGGAATTGGTGTTTAGGGATGGCGCTATGAGGGTGTGGAAGTTCCGGTACTGCTATTGGGATAGCAGCGGCAGTTATGTGTTGACAAAGGGATGGAAGAAGTTCGTGAGGGAGGAGGGGTTGAAGGAGAAGGATGCCGTTGCATTCTTGGAATGTGATTGCAGAATAAAGGGGAAGGAAGAGGTGCAGAGGATATGCATCATCCATGTAAAGAGAGCTCGGACCAGTGGTCCTAGTGATGGCAAAAGCAGCACCATAGTTGAGGGTGAGGATGCTATGGGGGTAGACTTGGACCTTAGGCTCGGACATAACACTAATGATGGTGAGGAGAAAGTAATGGAGGCGAAGCCAGTGCATCACGCTGATACCGTAGCGGACTTCAAACTCTTCGGCAAACAAATTTTTTGTAGTGATCAATTGAATTTCGCTTGATTGCAGTGCTAAACCGATCATTTGTTGAAATGGGGTCATAATATTTATCTCTGATGCAAATCAAATTATCAACATGATGCAAATCAAATTATCAACAGACACCAAACCTTCCAGGGCCCAGGCAAGTTATTTAAATTTAAACAACCTTACCAGCCTAACGTGAAAATTCCAGGCAATTCATCAAGAAGATTTGGTGGCCATCTCCGAAATTTGTTATTGCCTGAAATATTTCTAGGCTGGCTACAACCATTAGCTTCATAAAAAATGAATAGAAGTTCCGAGTCCTTTGATTTTTGTGCAAAATCATAATTGCAGTACGCATGTTCTTCCATGACACTTAACAACAATAAAATCAAGTGAAAGAAGAAAAAAATCCATGTTTGTTTTTCCCTGTGTTCATTCACATAAAGAAACACAGGAACTAAAATTTCTCAGTCATAGTCAGGTAAACCTTATTTTATCACTTAATGCAGCAACGCATACAAGAAGACAGTATTACTGCCTACAGTAGCAACAAATTACAACCAAAACATTCAAGCAAGCGAACAGTCACCAAGCCAACCCAAGAAGTTCCGTTTCTTTCTTTTATTTTCCCCTGCAAAAAGGAAATGCAATGAATTAATTTCATAGAAGGAAACGTAACTGGATCAAACATGGGAGAAGAAGAAATACAAGAAAGTTAAAAACCACAGTGCGCTAGATATTTAACCATAACTGCAAAACAAAAGGTTAAAAGAATTTCCAACTGGAGAAATTTACCCAAATGCTGTATATGAAAAGTAGTTAAATTACCAGAAAGATTGATTAGGATTTAGATGTCATAGTTCAACAGGATTGGGTCAACATGGGATGAAAACCTAACTAGAATACTAGATGCAACTCCAATGAAAGAGGCATGGACAGCCTAAACCCTAAAACATCCTTTCTTTTGCTTTTTCTCCATAAGTTTTGCCATCACAGACAAGGAAAAACTATGTATAATTTACTCACAACTTAAAAGAATAAGTCATAGATGTTAAAAGCACATCAGACTCTGAGGCACAACTGTCATTGCCTGAGAACAACACCTCACGTGAGGCAACATTAATGGGTGGTCGACTGGACAACCAAAGGGAGATCTAATGAGGATGATGATTCTTAGAGAGATCCAATATCAAAAAACATGATTGAAAATAGCTAGAATAGAACAAACAGAACCATAAATGTGAACATATAAATTATTTGCAATGCAATTATGTGCCGTCTAAAGAAATTAATCTAATTACAATTCATCTGATGGTTATGAAATGAACAGAAATCATGCTTCATAAATCAAGTTCGGGAGTCAGATCAGGTCAGGTTGGCCAACCCAATCCCAAGCTAACCTCAGGATACTTGGACAGGGTTGAATGTATCACTGAAATAAGCCCTACCTCAAAGTCTAAAACTTGATCCGAACTTAAATAATTTGAAGAACTCCAACTCAGAGATTGATAAGCTTTATTTTACAGGTTAACTAAACTAGTCAGCAATGCAACTGGCCTGAATGGCATAACAAAATTCAGTAAACATTCAGAAATCATCAATAAATTTGTCCCATAAAAAAACAAAACAAAACTCACAAGTTTGCATCTTCCCTATTAAAAAACAAAGCTTTTTCCACATTACCACCCAGCACCACCCTTTTCCATGAAATTCATTATACCAAAACGTTTTTTGGCTGGGCAATAAGATATATGCCTTCCCCTGCCTTCTCTGTGTTTGTTTCATCCACTACCGCTAGATAAAGTAAATCCTAACTCAACAATTGAAGAAGTCTTGACGCAAAATTGAAAAAAGAGCATCATGACCGAATACCACCATCCATATGCATACAAGCCCTAAATCAGTTAATCTAACCTGAATTGCAAGCACGAAAATAAAATGCACCAATCAAGTTAATAAAATCAAGGAAAAATTGAATCACCAATGTCAACAATTTCAATACTTGCATCCAATTAAATCTTCTCACCATTGACAAGCCAGACAATAAACCATCTAGAAATCAGATTCAACGCTCAAACAAACAAATTCCTATTCCCAGGGGATTTGAGAGAAAAATTCCGAACATTTAAATGGCGGATAATAACAATGGTGATCAAATAATACCCTAAACAATAGATAAGAAATGCAAGATTTATCAATACCTGTATTGATCGAATAATAACATCGATCAATCAATGGTGACCGCCGTGTTCCTTGGCGTGCTGCTGGTGCTCCAGGTGACGGCGTTCCTCGGGGAGGGCAACGAGGTAGGAAAAGATCATGCCACCGAAGCAGACATGGTAGAGAGGCTGGATTGAGCTCGTCTGAATGTACTTAGCGTGGTAGTTATCCAGCCACTTCTGCACAGACTGCTTCAAGAAGTCGCTGGATAGCTTCTCCTTAAAATAGCCAGGAACCTCCTTCACCGTCTTTCCCTTCATCTCATTGAGCATCTTCCTCATCGCCATTTTTAGCTGGATTGATCCTTCCTCGGCGTAGCAAACCCTAATCTTTGAAAACGGGGAGAGATCTGGTGATGCTACTGAAATTGTTGACGGAAGGAGTTTAGCTGTTTAATGAGCACAAGTTGGGCCGGGTTCGGCATAGGATCCGAACATCGTTAACCTGGATATGAACGAAAAATCCCTATTGGGGCTGTTTGGTTGTCTGTGTAAATTTTACTAAGTAAAAAAAAAAACTTTATTTGAAAATATTTTGACTAAATATTTATATTTAGGAAAGTAATTTTTTTGTGTTTCGTGACTTGAAAATTTTGTCCTGCGTTCTTGAAAATTTTATGTTTGGTTACTTGAAAAAAATGCTGCGAAATATTTAAAGTAAAAATTGTTATATAATAATGGATTGTTATTTAAAGTAAAAATCCCTTCACAAGAATAGGTAAATAAATATAAAAAAGTTATAAACTTTGAAATACAATTTAATATAAATTATTATAATTTGAACAGTAAAATAATTTTTTTATAGTAATCTTCTTACTTCGAGAAAAGGCAAAAGGAAGAGAGTAGATGAAATTTTATGAAAATTATTTTTAAGTGTTTTGGTTAAATTTTTGTTCTAAACTAAGTAGAAATATAATTCAAATTATATAAGTAGAAAAAAATACTAATTAAATTTATTACAACTGTATTAGGTTATTTTTAAAAAGTCTATACTACTCTTAACCCCTATTTTAAGGGGACTATTTGACTTCCAATAACCACAACTTCCCCCCATATTTCATTCATTGAGAGAATTATTCAAGTACTTCTAAGTTCTAATTATGCTTTGGACAAGAGAAAAAAAATTTTGACTTGTTGATTTTTTCTCGATTAATCTTTGATTGTATTAGTAGTTAATAGTTACTCCCTCTATCTCTCTCTTTTATTTATTTATGATTGCAAGGTGATGGATGAATTAAAATCAATTATTTGCTACTGTTACTTTGATGGCTAGATTGTTCAAGTAGCGAAGACTGCAGTACGTACAACATGAAGGAGGACGTCTTGTAGGTGTTGTAGTTACTAGTAGAATGTGACTTCAAGAATTCAAATTAAAATTTCATAATCGCTGTGGGATTCCTTTGGAAAGCGTGGTATTGAAATTCACACTAGACTCTAACAGAAGCCAACTAGTTGATATAGATTCTTATGAAGCCTTTACAGACATGATTTGCATTAGCTTGCATGGCGCGAATGTGTCCATCACGAGGGAGGAACATACAAGCAGAGGAAGTATGGATGACGATCCCCCAACTGAAGAAGAGGAGAATAGTGGAGGAAAGAAGTGCGAACAAAGAAAGGGCTAACACTAATAATCTGATTATTGGTACGAGTAAAAAGAGTTTAATTTTTTTTAAATAAAATTTTAAATGTGAGTTTTGTCAGTAAAAATAAAAGTATTGAGAAAATTACTTTTTATGTAAAATGATGTGAGTTAATCTTAAATTAATTAGATTTAATATAATTTTTAAATATAAAAAATTAATATTACATAAAGTTTCCTTTTACGTAGAGTATTATATAGGGATGATATAAATAAAATAAAAAAATATTATTTTATTTTTATATTAAAAATAATATTTTTTATATCGTTTCTAATTATTTATCTTTTAAAATTTTTGCTTAAAAAAAAAAAAACGATAATTACGAGCAATTCAACAAAACAAAGCAAACACGATTGAAAGTACAAACGAGACCGTGATCGTCTCAGGTGATGACTATAAGCTCAGAGTTGGTGAGAGTTAATTGACTCTTGACCTACGCAGCGGACTTTAAGCCTCTTGGATCCTGAATTCGGTTTCAGATCTGGCATTTCCATGGCGAAGAAGACATCTTCTTCCTCGCATAGCGGTAGAGGGGGATGGAGATACCTCCACCCCATGTATTACCTCAAAAGGCCCAAACGCCTTGCATTCGTTATCTTCGCCTTCGTCGCCGTCACCTGCATCTTCTGGGACCGCCAAACTCTCTCCAGAGACCACGAGGCAAGTATCGGGTTTGATCTTTATTCCATTTCATTATTCTGTATGTGTAATTCGATTGAATCCTTGTTCTTGATTACATATTTACCGGATTTAGTATGTTTGGGGGATTTCTGTTCTGTCTAGAGAAAATGTATAATGGCCATGACAATTCTAAATTCTCTATCTTTGATGATTTTGATCCGATCCTGATCATGGAAGAAACTTTTTCCCCTGATTAATTTCACTCCATTATTGAGGGTTCAAGTTTTTTTTTTTTTGTTTTTGGAGGGGGGGGGTATGATTCAGAGAAGAGAAGCACGTTCTTTGTAATTCATATTTGTGTGCAATACGAAGTGATTAAAATTTTCAACTTTGCAGGCAGAAGTTTCGAGATTAAAGGAAGAACTGACCAGCTTACAAAATGAGGTTTGTTTCTTCAATTGGTTTGTGGACCTCGATTAACCTACATGGTTTGCTTAGACTTTTGTATATGTCCTTGCAGCTAGAAGAATTGAAGGGTAATCTAAAGGGTTCTGGTGTAGACTTTAAGAATAAAAAGGGTTCCAAAGAGAAGATTGTTCAGGATGATCCTGTCAGCATTGAACGAAGGGAGCAAGTGAAAGATGCTATGCTTCATGCGTGGACTTCCTATGAGAAGTATGCTTGGGGGAAGGATGAACTTCAGGTTAGTTTTACAATTTTGGTCCAAAAGTTGGTCAAATTCTTCTGAATAATTGTTTGCTAAATACTGATCAACCCTCTGAATGGATCTTTTTGTGATGTAAAATTTTAAAGGAATTTGTAAAGCCCCATATGGTGCCCTTGTTTTTGTTCGTAATTTGTTTGAACACTTTTTCCCTCATTGTGTACCCTTTATGTTTGGTCTTTTCTGCTAAAATTGAGAGATCCTGTGAGTTTTGACCTTTGGCATAAGAAAATTTGTGCTTTTCCGAGTATTTATTTGTTCTTTTCCTGTTATTTGTCCAAAGTGTGGAACTAAATGTGTTAGTTCTGAACAGCCACAAACGAAGGATGGTGTTGATAACTTTGGTGGCCTTGGAGCAACTCTAATAGATTCTCTTGATACCTTATTTATAATGGGCCTTCAGGAGCAGTTCCAAAGAGCTAGAGAGTGAGTTCCCTTTTCTTTTTACCTTGTTTCCCCTTTCTTCCTTTTTATGTTGTATATCTCCAGAGATGTGTTCTATATTTGTGTATTATATTGCACCATGGATGTAAGATATATTTAAGGGAGTCTAACATCTTAGGAAGTTGTGTTGAGTCAAGTGTTTTGTTGGTAATTTCTGGGTTAAATTGAGGGTGAAAAGGTGAGAGAAATTATTGAGTAATTAGGCTTCTTAATAGCGTTTGTTCTTGGGTTAAGATGGGATGAACAAGAAATGCATTTTCTGTTAATAATACCTTAAATATAAACAGGTTTTGAAGGGTTTAATTCTGGTGAGTTTATGTACTCTTGACTGGGACTTATGTGGAAGAATTTTGTTGGGCTTTTTGGCTGTGAAAAAGGTTCAGGGATCAGGTACACAAATTGGGAGAAGATGTTAACATAAAAAAATAAATAGATTTAAGCGTCACAATGGGGTTTGGGATGATGTTGTTTATGCAATCCCAAGAACAAATCATACTTTCCTTAAAAGTTTTTGTTAACAATATCTTTAATTGAAAGAAAGTATATGGATACATATTTAGACTTCTAGCAATCCTAATCCTTGGCCTTGCACTTAATTGGAAGTTTAAATTCTGATTAGTAACACAACTCTTAGAACTCAGGGAAAAGAAGGCCCAGTAATCATATAATACTCAAAATAATTCCCTTCCTGGATGCCTTAACAGCAGAAAACTTGAAAATTGAAATTACTGAAGAAAATTCCTCTAAGTGAGAGTCAATAACATTTATCTCCTTGAGAAATAAAAAATAAGACTTAATAAGGTTACCATAATTCCAATTCCCTAGATCACAAACTTGACTGTTCCTGCTACCTTTGTATCTGTGCAGGACCATTATCCTACCTTTGCTTTTGATGAAGTTCTATTGCCATTTTCCAATTGTTTGTTCTAAAGGGATAATCTAGTTGTTGTTACCAATTTAATGTTTCCCTGTCATTTTAATTTTGTACTTTTGTTAGATTTTGTTATAAAGCGGTCTTTATGATTAATTACTGCAGGTGGGTTGCAAATTCATTGGATTTCGACAAGGATTATGAGGCTAGTGTTTTTGAGACAACCATAAGGTTGCATTATAAGGTTTAATAATTTTTTTAGTATGTCTGAAGTGTTTTGGATAATTTCTTTTAGCAAGTATATATGCTGATTGTGTTTCTTATCATGTATCATGCCTTTGTCAAAGTCAGAGTTTTAGGTGGCCTTCTTAGTGCATATGATCTCTCTGGAGACAATGTTTTCCTTGAAAAGGCTAGAGACATTGCAGATAGGTTGCTGCCTGCATGGAATACACCATCTGGGATTCCGTATAACAAGATTAACCTGAGAACTGGGAATGCACATAGCAGTGGGTGGACAGGAGTAAGTTCTGAATGTCTTTTTTTGGTATTTTTCTTGAAGCAGGCAGGCATCTTTATAAAATAACCTATGAATGGTTTCCATGGTAGTAGATTCTCTGTTTTCTGAATGATACATGTTGTGTTTTCTAGGGAAACAGTATTCTGGCAGATTCTGGAACAGAGCAGCTTGAATTTATTGGTCTATCTCAAAGGACAAAAGATCCAAAGTACCAGCAGAAGGTGTTCATCATGAGACCCTTGATCGCGTTCTGATTATTCCCCACACAAATCTTTCTATTCCAGTTCAATGAAGTTTTTCGGTCTCTTTTGCACTTTACGTTTTTCTTTTTTCTTTGGAGAAAGTGTGGTGATCAAAGCTGTAAATGATAGATCTTTATATATGCTTGCTGTCTGAGTTGCTGTAACTTATCCAAGGAACTGTTTTTCAGGTGGAGAATGTCATCAAAGAACTGCATAAAACCTTTCCTGATGATGGGTTGCTCCCTATATACATTAATCCTCACACTGGAAAACCATCATACTCAACAATAACATTTGGAGCCATGGGTGATAGGTAAATTTTAATATTTAGAGACAATTAGTTCACCAAGATTGTCATTTGTGATGTGTTCTTAAATGGTGTTCTTTTAATTTTCTAAAATATTAAACTCATTAAAGTCAATTGTAGGAGTATGCTTATTGGGCTACCCACCTACCTATTATTATTTTGAGGCTACCTTGCATTTTTGGACTTGCTGGTTTATCCATTTATACTTGCATTCCCTAAAAAAAATTCAAGTATTTATGTAGTTATTTCTTACTGCTCAAAAAGATAAATCTCATATAAATATGCCATATATATTTTGCATTGAATCTTATAAAGTTGAGACTTTTGAATTCAATTTTGAGGAATTTAACAATTGGTTATGGTGTCTGCCAAGGCTGGGTCTTTTTTAGGTTGATATGTTAGATTGTTGGTTCTGTTGTAAACCAATAATTTGAATTATCTGCTATCCTCCGAAAAATGAGGGGTGGCTAGTAAGACATGCTAAGTAGAATTTAACAAATGTTGTTGAAAATCCATAGACAGGCTAATAGATATGTTGCTTTCAACGAATCTTAAAATAATAGGGTAACTCCAGCCATTGGATGGAGGGGTCCTCCCCCAATATCAGGGGGCCCCTCTTAATCCAACAGCTAGTGTTTTGCAGTCCAGATTGCACCAGGCTGCAAAACACTTTTTGCTCTTATAAAAGAAGTTAAAAAATTTTAAAAATAGGATAACTAAGCAACTGTATACTTTTTTAGATAAGTTTTGACTTTGTTATTTCTGCCATACAACAAACCATGTTCAATTGGAGGAAATTTGGTAGAATCCTTTGTAAGTTAAATGCAACTCATTATTCTACTGTATTTAGTCATTTTATAAATCTATTAATGATAATTTGGAGACAGTTTTGTGCTAATTTATCTGTGTGATGTTGCTCATAATGCAGCTTTTATGAGTACCTACTCAAGGCATGGATACAAGGGAACAAAACAGAAGCTGTAAAGCTTTACAGGTAAGAAGTTTCAAATGCACACTAATGAGCATGACTTTTGCAATACACACTAATAAGCATGCATTTGGCGCCAACTTATGGGATTCCATTTTAAGTTATTGCATCTTATGCTAGGGTGTGTTGGTGTCTAAGTACATGTTGCGCATATTGCCATTAGTAAGATTGCAAACTGTTAATCTGCTACAGCTTTGAGTGGCTACTGATTTTTATTGTCTCTCTATAGTGTTTCTACTAGCCACCCTCATGTGTATCAATATATTTTGCATGGTCATTTTATTAGCATGGCTACAGTGATGGTATGAAGCTGATTCTGTCATATCTCACTTTACAACCATAATACTGAAAAAAGGGAAATGTGGGAGACATCAATGAAAGGTTTGCAGAGCTTGATTCGAAGAACAAAACCATCCTCTTTTGCTTACATATGTGAGAAGGAAGGAGATTCACTGACTGATAAGGTGGTATTCAAATAATCTGAAGCTTGTTTTTTTCATTTTTGGTTGTTTTATGTTCTCTGAGGGGGCTTCATTTGCATAATGCATACAGATGGATGAATTAGCATGCTTTGCTCCTGGAATGTTGGCTTTAGGATCCTCTGGTTACGGGCCCACAGAAGCTGAAAAGTTTCTATCTCTTGCAGAAGAGGTATTTATTGAATAATTATATTTACATATACAGACTAGGATAAATTTTTCCTGAACCTTTTATGCCAGAAGAGAATAGGGAAGTGAAGAGATAAGAGAGAAGAAGCAGATGGGAAAGAAAAAGGAAAAAGACATAAATGAAAGGAATTATGAGATACATGTTTTTTTTAGGGGGGTTGGTGAAGGTGGGAATTAAAAGCAAGAAATCTAAATTTTCATAATTTTATTTATTAAAACCCTCTTAAAATTTTCGAGTAACTAGTATTTGTAACTGAACTGTTCCTTTAATTTGGAATTGCCTGTTGTGGAAGGCAGAATTTATTTTTCTGAGCTTATTAGAATTATGATGGCATAAAAGCAAATTCAAAGTGGTAACGGAAAATAATGCCTTCTGCTTGAGAAGGCCAAACTATCCTTTCTGTTTACAGAATCTAAGTCATCTTGGACTGCAAGTTCAATTTTACCCTGACCAGATAATTTTGGCTCTGAAATGTAGCTTGCATGGACTTGCTATAATTTTTATCAGTCAACACCTACGAAGTTAGCTGGAGAGAACTATTTCTTTTATTCGGGACAGGTTTGATTCTTTCATTCTCATCTTTTCGAATGAAAGCTGTTTTGTTATCTGCACTGGACTAAAAAATAAATAAATAAAACGTAGGATATGAGTGTCGGTACTTCTTGGAATATTTTGAGGCCAGAGACAGTTGAGTCACTCTTTTACCTATGGCGTCTCACCGGCAACAAGACATACCAGGAATGGGGTTGGAATATCTTCCAAGCATTTGAGAGGAACTCCCGCATAGAGACAGGATATGTTGGACTTAAAGATGTAAGCTCTAAATATGCTACGTTAATATGATAATTCAATATTATCTATCACATCAAATGATTTTGTATCTGTGTCAATTATACTCTTAGTCATGGATTGAATCCTGCCAGTAATATAAGTAATGCTTCTGTTGTATTATAGATGTGTCTTGAGAACTGAAAGATTATTTTTATGTCCGTTGAATTATTTATTTTCTTATAATATGGTGGCTGATAATTTCAATAATTTGGACTTTAAAATTCTTACCATTGTTTGTCAGGTTAATTCAGGTGCCAAAGACAATATGATGCAAAGCTTCTTTCTTGCGGAGACACTCAAGTATCTGTACCTCCTTTTTTCACCTCCGTCTGTTATCTCTCTGGATGAATGGGTGTTTAATACAGAAGCTCATCCTTTAAAAATTGTCACTCGAGGTCCTGATGAAGAGATGCCTCAGGTTGATAAACGGAAATCAGCGATTCGGGTCCGTGGTAGGAAAGTGGGTCGTGATTATTAGCCCACCGTGCCTGAGAACCATTCTTCAAAGGTATTAGTCAACACCTCTTTTCTCCTATACCCAAGGTATTCATGTCTGACCCGTAACTTTTATTATTTAGTCCCGCTCCTCAACTCATTGGTCTTGTGAGAAAGGAAGAATGTCAAATGGATAGTTGTTGTGAAGTTTGTTTTCAATGTCATTGCTATCTAGCAATGTACTGTTGATTAGTGATTGCAGTTACTGAATCTTGAGTAATTGAGCTAATATGCAAGATGCATACAGAACAGAGCTTTGCAGCAATTGGACCACAACCCGAAAAGGAAATAGCCGGATTTCTGATTGTAAAACCAATATATAGTTTTATACTCAAGTTAGAGATTAGAGAACTGAATAATGTGATACTTGTGTGACCGGATTTTTGAGGTTAAAATTTTGTGTTTCTGTTAGCAGGTACTTTCGGTAATTGGTTGAATTTAGAATGCTTTTTTTTTTTTTTTTTTAATGTTTTTTTGAATGCACATTTGATTCTTTAATTTTGTTATTCATTTATTATATGCTGCGGCTGGTTATTCTTAAAAATACTTGTTAGTCCCACTTCCTAAAAGTCCAACGGCACGTTTGGAGTGCCGGATACAAAGCAGGGTAGGATAAATTTTTTGTCCTGTTTTACCATTTCCCATGTTAGGTGGGAATGAAGGGATGGGATACGCATCATCTACATTTTTTATCCAGTGGTGACTTCTTTTGATAAAATGTATCCAGCCTCCTCCAGGGGATTAGGTGGGATACGAATGAATTTTCATATTTTATCCCCCCTTCTTTCCCATTGATTTTCTTCTCTCATATACAAGATGCCTGCGCATGGGTGCCGATTTCTGCATTGCTTTGTTTCACCAACTCCGAAAATGCATTTTATCTTCCGCCATGGATCTCTTTGTAAATCTCCAGTCATCCCTTTCTTCTTCTTGCATCACTAATTTCATTAGTCTCCGATCATCCCTTTCCTTTTCTTTTTCTCTTAAACTAAAGAAACTCAGATTTATTCCACTCTTTTTTCTCACTCAAAAGGCGCGTGGATCTCATATTTCAATTTCATTCAACAGACACTGATGTTGTCTCCTCATTTACATTATGATGAGTCTACAAAAACATATATATTTATTTTCACTTTTCATCCATGCTGAGATTTGCCGATTTGCTTCTCAAACAAAACTCTAGCTTGCAAATGTAAAGAAGAACATGGAAAATACTAGAGAGGTTGAGAAAATGGAAGAAAAATGTATTTAAGAAGTCAGTAGTCGTTTGGGAGTGGAGAAAATGAAACAGAAAATTGTAAGAAAATTTTGAAGGATTTTAGTAAGTTTTTCCATTTTTTAATAAATAAATTGAATTGGAATAATGAAGGTATTTTGTTAACAAATAAATATTTTAAATCAATCTTGTGTTTAATTTAATAAACTCCAAACATATGATTGGACATCTAAATAATCCAATTTAGACCAAATCCAATCCAATGCAATTATTGAAACATATCTCATGCAATCTTAACTTATGCTTCAAATGTACCTCAAATTCCTAAAGATAAATAATTACATCACTTCAATTAACACTCATTGAAAATGAGAATGATTAGGGGTATTTTAATTTTTCTCCATGGCTTTTTATTGAAACGACACTGAAACAAGTAGATTTTTGCCACCTGCTCTGCTACCCTTGATACAAATGAGTACAATTAAGGAAATAGCATTGTAATTTACCCGTAACAACATTGCATTGTCTTTGTCAAACTGGAAATGGAATGTTTATTGATTTCATTTCACACACAGATTCAAAGGTGGTTGAGTCCCAAGACAAATTAAAAAGAGAAACTTACAAGCTCAAGCAAAGAGACATTCCCTCAACCCTACCACAAAAAGTATAAACACAAAAGATAAAAAGCAGCCATCCCTACCACCTCAGCAACAATCATGACTCCAAACATTAATCCTTAAAATAAACATAATGACCATGCAAAACCATTAAAAAAATAGTAAATGAAAAAAAAAAAAAAAACCATTTTAGTACTAAAACAAACACAATAATTTATTATAAACGTGAATGAAAGATAGAATCTAGTTATAGTACTGTCTCTTGAGAGAAGTGATGGGTACGTATTTGCAGTGGCAAAGAGAATCCATGTTGGGGGCTTGAAAAGGAGAGCCTGAGCCTGAGGGCCTGTTCTAAGCCAGCATGCGTTATGTTTCAAACACAAAGGAATTCTAGGGTACTGGGTTCTTGCTTTCTTTCTCTTTGGCGTTTTCCCACATTAATTCCCTTTGATCATATAATTTGGCATTCTTATTTAGTGGGAAATTCTTTGTTTGTGTGTGTGTGAGATATGGTAAAAGCTTTTGTTGATTCGATCCTAAATCCAATGATTTAAACAAATTAATAAAGGGGGATCCATAAAAGGTGAAGAGAAAACTTTTGACTATAATAGTGCTCTAGCTCTCCCATCTCATGCAATTTCCAACTTTTTGCTCTTAATTTAATGCCCATTTCCCCTCAAAGTTATTGCCACATGTAAAAAAGGTCACACCTCTCCATCACAAATATTCTCCTTCAAAACATTCCCCTGCTGTTAAAGTTACCATAAACAGTCCTTTTTCTTGCCAACATCATCAATTGTTTGTCACTACTACTCCTTTTGACTTATTTTACTACTTAGTAAATAGCTTTTGATTGAAGCCAGATCCTTAATCTGTTTATCCATTGCCTTTTCTTTGTTACTAGTACGGTAGTTTTCATTGACACCATTTAAGTTTTCTTGGTATAACTTTTAGATTCAAGATAATGTTAAACATACTTATTTTTAAGTCTTATATGCACGTTTTTTTTTTTTTGTAAAGAGTCAAATTATATAACAGATTACTTTAATTGAATTTAAAAGTGATATGAGAAGGAAGTGCATGCAATTAGTATAGTTTCATTAATACCAATAATTTTAGTCATTTTCATTTCATCTCAATTGGCATGAATGAAAAAATGTGATAATGTCATGTACATGAAAGTGCAGGTGCAGAATCTCTGCTACATGCCAGTTAAATCCACCAAGGAAAGGAGAATTATTTTCTTTGCTATCTAGCTACTACTCAATTATTTTATTTCACTTCTTGGACAGCATTTCTCTGCCACACCCCCCCCCCCTTCCCCAAAATTCTATATAGCAAAGTAAATTCATTCTATGCACGGTCTAATGTTTAAATTTTGAGACCGGTAGAATTAGTTTAAAATTAATAAAAAAAAAAAATTCTCTGATTATACAATTCATATTTTAATAAATATTAGAAAAAGAGAATCCCGAGATAAGTCTGTTCTAAATCCAGTACTCACATTCTGAGGAAGCTGTGAAGTGTCGATGTTAAACCCAACACACAGAAGAGGGCATAAGACATAACCTTTCAAATTGTGGTTTGATATATGTCAGGACATGAATTATTGAGAGTTGGGGTAAGCTTTTCTCCATCAATTATATCACCTCACTGCATATATCCGGACATACGTCTTGCTTTCATGTTAGAGAATTTGCTTTTAAAGTACTGTCAGGAGAAAGATACCAAACAGAAAATAAGGAAAATACTACTTTAGTTCCAGGGGTTTGCGAGCATATATGCCATCAAATCAAAGAATAAAGACTTTTTTTTATTTTTTGGGCTCTCAAAGGGCAACCACGGCGAAATAGTTTGGTACATACATTTTTATGGAAAACGAAGAATTAATGTTAGCAGTAACAACCAACTAAATTTTTAGATCCAAGTGATTTGTCCTTAAATTTAAAGATATTTGGATTAGTTGGTTAAGATTTTAAATTTCACCAATGCTTTAAAAAATCTCCTTTCTTAAATTGTAAACTATTCAAAAACAAAAAAAATGTTAACAGCAACAATGAAGCATTTGGTACTTTAATTATCAAGAAAACAACATTACGAATTTACGAGGACTATTGCATAAGGATAGGGAGATATTATGTTATAAAGGCTAATGACATTTGTACATTTTTTTTTAATAAAACTTTCGCGTGAATAAGTAAATAAATAAATACATATAATATTATAATCTCAATAAAATGAAAAGAACCCATCATTTATTAAATGACATATCATATTATATAAAAATATTATACAAAAAAATTATCTTTTAATCATTTTCTATATTATAAATAAGAATTATAAGATCTCCCATCATTTTAACCCTTTGTCCCATTTAGATTTGTGAAATAAACAATTAATAGTTCATTACATTACATGGTTTGATATTCAAAAAAAAAAAAAGTTCAGTTTTTTGGTAAAAGAGAGAGAGAGAGAGAAGGGTTCATTACATTACATGATTTTACTATAAATCACTCTAGGTATAGGATCCAGCTGTATAAAATAAAATGTTGGGGACAAACTTTAAAGAATAGCATAGTTTATAGTCCTAGAAAAGATATTTTCCCTTTATAAAAGGAGATTGATTGGGATTAGAGAAGAAAGAAAAGAGAGTGGCAGTAATGATGTTGCATGCAAGAAAAGAGAAGAACATACTTTCATTTCTTTTCCTTTCTGTGTTTTCTTTCACTTTCTTTTGCTTTCTGATGTCCCACTTTAATCCCTTTCTTAGATTTCAGTAGCAAAAGGCTTCTCTCTCTCTCTCTCTCTCTTTTTTCCATTTTTCTCTCAATCCATTAATTTGAACCTTTTCACTTAATATGTTCATTAATTGTTGGGCTGATCTGTGTCTTATACAAAACTTAGAAGGAAGAATAATTGAGCTGGACTGTTATAATTTTATTTGTAGCTACAGTCCTGAAGTGTGCATGATTCTTTCGGTTTTACGACTTGCAGAGTTATGACAATCCTTTTGCATGAAAGCACAATGATGTAGAAATTGAAAAGGCAGGAGTAATTTTTTACCCCACGCATAATATGGGAACCCATTTCTTCTCTTCTTAATCTTCTTCTTCTTTTCCTTTTCCCCTTGCGAAGGACAAGAGGAAGCCTTGCATCTCCTTGGTTCAGTTCATGCAAATACTTCGCTGAGATATATTTGACTATTTAATTAATAAGCAAACAGATGATAGCTAGCCATGATGTATACTGAGTTTAATTTTTTTTCTTTGAGGAAATGTCTGTACAAGTGATGCAAAATCAATCAAATGCCATATCTTATCAAATTTCATTTGCAAAGTGTTAAAATATAAACAGAATAATTGATAAATCAATCATTCATACTATTTAAATCGTATTCACACTATTTATATTTACTCTAAAATTTTATACTTCAAATATTTTCTTTGTATACTCAAGAAAGCAATGCTTTTTCTTCATATTCTTCTCCACTTTAGTTTCTAACATGGATTCAAAAGCTTAATTAATGCTCCAGGTTCCTTTTTTTTTTTTATTTGGTTTTTTTCCCATGTGCAATTATTGGTTGGATTATTTGTGGATTTTTACCGAGTCTATTACCAGTAGGGTTATTGTCACACTCTCAATAAGTAATACCAGACATTTTAGCATAATTGACTATTATACTTGTACATTATACTTTTTCTTGGAATTTTATATTTTTTGTTTCTTAAATGAATTAAAATAAAAAAGATGTGACATTAATAATTGAGGATGTGATAATAATATCACCCATTTATTGCTTTTTTGTATACTCTTCTCTGCTTTAGTTTCTAACATAGAGTTTATATGTTTCATATATGCATTTTAGGACACATGTTTTGCACCTCCCTTCTCTCGCATCATTAATAAATATGTCATATATATATATATATATGTGTGTGTGTGTATTTTGAGCATTTTGCACCTTATGTTGTTTTTTAATATTTATACTAATTTTAAATTGAAAGTTTTAAATTTAAATTTTAAATAGGGAAAAAGAACGTGGTTAAATGCTTGCTTGATGAAAAAGCATTCCCTTGAGAGAAAAGTGTTGTTAAGAGAAGTGCTCATTACTTGAGAAAACTCAAATTTTAACCTTTTAACATTTCATCTATAATTTATTAAGCCCTCAAAAAATGCAATTTTTGTCAGCCCTAAGGTTTTTTTTTTTTGGGTAAGAGAAGCCCTGGAAGTATTTGATAAACCCTGGGATTTTCAGTCCAGACTGGTGAAAGTTCAAGCTTAAAATTACCTTTCTATCCTCAACGAGGACTATTTATTATTAGACATACTGGGCCCTCATTAATGGTATAAGTGACATTTCCATTTCCTTCGAAAACTTGAATTTGTTAGCTTATCCTCGAGCTTTTGGGAAGTGGGCCTAAATGTCCCATACAAATACGCTTGGTATATTTTATCCTTTTATGCTTTGTTGAATAATTGCTAGGCAAAATGTAAACCAAATCATTCCAACCCGAAAGAAATTGTGCAGCCACTATCTCATTTAATTCATAAAGGGATACTTTTCTTCTAACTAGAGAAATCCCAATTGCCTTTAACCTTTGGAATAATCATCCAATGATTTGGGCACCCCTGTCTTTCTCCTTACCACAATTTAATCAAAGCCTATGGAGATTGGAAATCGAGTGCTCCATTTGTTTAAAGTAATGGGTGCCCACGCTTCATTTATTACACAATCTTAATCATTGTGTTAGTCTTTTTTTGATAAAATCATTGTGTCTTAATTAGCTTTTACTATATATATATTTTTTTGATACTTTTGATCGTGAGAAGAAAGTAAATTGTATTATGGACAAGCTGAGTCATTTATTAGATTTTCAATCAAGTGGTATCTTAAGTTATAGTTTGAGCATAAGTCTATGTTAAGTGTATGGTAAAATATTATTAAAAACAGATCATTCACATTTTTTTGTTTGTTTTATAATTTCGAATTGTATAATGAAGGACAACTCTCTTCTCCTCTTATCCTTTAACTCATTATATTCACATGTTATGCGATTTAAATTCAAAATCTTTTACTTTCACTAAAAGAAAATTATCATTAAATTACTTAGGTTTTTGGTATATATCATTCACATTAAAATTTAAAATTTCACAAGAAATTATTATCAAATGCCTTTTTTCAAAGTTTTGAATACTTATCAACTAGCTAGGTGAACAAATCTATAAGCTAAATAATTTGTAATTCTCTTTTTGCAAGGAGTGCAAGTTGAAATATAAATTACTTAGAATGGGACTTAGTTATCCTCCAATCAGTAACTCACAACAATACAAAATCACTAAATTTCAAATTATTATAAGACAAATTTAAACTTTACTGAAACTACCTCAACCTAACTTAATCCTAAACTAAGATTTTTTTCATTAGTGAGCACGTACCAATTAATTGAAGTACAAGAAGTTTTTGATAGTTTTTGGTTTTTTTTTTTCTTTTTTTATTAATAGGAGGTAACTTTTTTCTATTCTATAATTCATCTTATACATATATTATGCAACTCAAAATCAAATTTTATTGAAAAGAGATTGTCATTGAATTAATTAAGTAATTAATTAAGTTCTTGATAACTTCAAGAGATTATTTCTATAAAAAGGTAAAATAATAGACATTAAAAGAAATACTGAATGGCACAGCTTTACCCAATGATATCGCATCTACCATGCAGTTGAAAATGCTTTCTTAATATACTTTTTCAACGAAAACAGTACTTTTCCTTTGGCTCCTTTTAATGCAATAAAAACTTGGGAAAATAACCTTTGAATCTACCTTCCTTTTATCTCCTGTTGGGAGTTTATATATGCTATTCAACTTCAAGCCTCTTCCCCTTTCTTTCTCCTCTTTTCCTTTTGCATTTTAACTTTCTGCTCTTTTGTCCTCATTAAGTTTGAACATTCTACCTCAAAGCAAAGGTTTTACATTGATTTAATTGACCATCATTAAGCAGAGCCCCACAATAGCATAATATTTGTGCCAAGTAATTCTCATCACACCACCTTTATATATATAATTTTTTTTTTTTTAAGGAGAAGTTATATGCATGTGACTTACATATAACACGTTAATGGGACATTCTTCATTTATTATTAATTGCTTTTAAGTTGTGTGCTCAAATATAATTAGAGTTTGGTACTAAAAAAAATAGAAAAGAAAATAAAAACAGAAGAAAAATCAGTTTGCAAATTGCAAGAGGTGGGTTGTTGGATTAAGACAAAAGGGTAAGCAGTTTTGCTGAAAAAAAGCCAATAATGCTCTGTGAGCAGAAATAGCAGACAGAGACTTGCTTTTTTGTGTATACTTCAATTCAACTTGGGGAATAAAATGCTTTCTCTGCACAGGGATTGGCGTGATTGAATCAATGGGAATAAAAACAGTATGTTCCATTTTCCATACAGGAGTATTTATTTATATACATACAACAACGGAAACGATAAACATGAGAAAGGAAAAAAAAAAAAAATCAACTTTCCTTTTTATCTCTCATCACACTGTGTTTCCCTTCTTTTTTCCACTTTTTCTCTTTACTGCTTTTTTTTGAATTTATGCTGGCCTTGCCTGTCCATTCAAAGTCTGTAATGTGGAAAAAGCCAGTCTCTGTATTTTTATTTTTTTGGAATTCTACTTTTTCTCTACGGATTAATTATACTATAAAGTTAGTAATTAATGGTTTTTATTCTTGTTCATGAATGGCATACACATTTTATATTTGAGTGCAATATCATGGGTAGATTGAGATCTTGGTTTGCAGCTTTTCATCATCTTGGTTTGGAGGATGATTAATTATAATATGAAAAGTGCATGCCATTAGCCTAGTTTAATGCAATCACCTTTCCTTTTCGCAAAGAACAAGTAGATTCTTTAGCCTAATTACATATCACCACAACATTTGTTAATGCTCTTGATGAAACGTTTTAAAAGATAAAGTTTAAGACTTCAAATTAAAGGTTTTATATATTCAAACCTTAAAGTTAACATTTGTTTGTATAGCTAACATGATGAATTAGTAGAGAGTTGATAAAAGTTTTATGCTGGTTGTATCAAGAATCTAGAATCCAATTCAACTTTCATGAATTGAAAGTGTTAAGAGGAAGGAGTAGCATTTTGTAGTTTTGACAACAAAACACAGGCCATTAATCGGGGTTTCAACCCCTATATTCAAAAAGTTTATTATCTAATGATTTATGTTATATAGTCTGGATTACATTCAACATCTCTTTTTTCATTTTGTAAAATAATGGCGCGGTGTAATAACTGTGAAAAAAAAGCAACGAAGTGGAAAAATAAAGCTAGAGCTAGAAAAAGCTGCAGTGTTCAAAAAGAAGGGAAAAATGAATATAAGAGGGCATATAAATTATAAAGAAGTGATCTGGTGGTCTCACCTGGGCAAGTATATATAAACTATAAAGAAGGTGATCTGGTCTCATCTCTTCTTTCTCAAAAACTCTCCTTTCAAAAATCTCACAATCCCTTTTCCTCTGAAGCATAGTGTATTTTTGTGTGTGATTTCGTCTAACCCGAGTGCGTGTAGTTTCTGTTTCCTTGAAGCACCTCAAGGAAGAGATTTTTAAAGCTTTTCTCAAACACAGAGGGGTGGGGTGGTGTTAAGGGGTGGAGAAATTAGTATAAGAAAAACACAGCAGAGAAAGAAAGAAACTTTGGCCACAGCTAAGAGTTTTTTCCGAGGGGGTGGTGTGGGGGGTGGGTGTTTGGCCAAGTGATGCGCTCAGGAGCCTGTACAGTGCAGCAGACCCTCACCACAGAGGCTGCTTCAGTATTGAAGCACTCTCTTAGCTTGGCGAGGAGGAGAGGCCATGCTCAGGTCACTCCTCTGCATGTAGCTGCCACGCTGCTTGCCTCAAGGGCTAGTCTTCTGAGAAGAGCTTGTCTTAAGTCTCAGCCTCACCACTCTTCTCATCCTCTTCAATGCAGAGCTCTTGAGCTCTGCTTCAATGTGGCTCTCAACAGACTCCCAACCACCACTGGTCCTCCACTTCACGGCCAACCTTCTCTATCAAACGCCCTGATCGCAGCACTCAAGAGAGCTCAGGCTCACCAGAGAAGGGGTTGCATCGAGCAGCAGCAACAACAGCCACTTCTCACCATCAAGGTAGAGTTAGAGCAGCTTATCATATCCATCCTAGATGACCCTAGTGTTAGTAGGGTTATGAGAGAAGCAGGATTCTCTAGCACGGCTGTCAAGAGCAACATTGAGGACTCCTCTTCTTCCTCCGTTTTTCAGTGCTACAGCACCACTGGTGGGGTGTTTTCTTCCCCCTGCTCTCCCTCTCGTGCTGAGACTCGGAACAATTTCTGGCCGACCCCTCTCTTGGGTTACTCTTCTGAGCAAAACCCACTTTTCTTTTCACCTCAAAAGAAAGTGCCTATCGCAGATTCGGCTTCTGTGAAGGAAGATATTAAGTTGGTTTTTGAGGTGTTTTTGGGGAAGAAGAGGAAGAACACTGTGATAGTTGGTGACAGTTTGTCCACCACAGAAGGGCTTGTTGCAGAGCTGATGGGGAGAGTAGAGAGAGGAGATGTTCCTGAAGGAATGAAGCACACTCAGTTTATCAAGTTTCATTTTGCACCAGTAGCTTTAAGGTTCATGAAAAAGGAAGATGTTGAAATGCATGTCATGGAGCTGAAAAGGAAAGTGGATTCTGCTGCATTAGGTGGAGGAGGTGCCATGATCTACACAGGAGACTTGAGATGGACGGTTGAAGAGAGTCTCAGCCCTGGTTATAACCCAGTTGATCATCTGGTTTCAGAAATAGGAAGGCTAGTTTCTGAATATAACAGCTCAAGCACAAATGTTTGGTTAGTAGCAACTGCAAGTTACCAGACATACATGAGATGTCAAATGAGGCAGCCTCCTCTTGAGATCCAATGGGCACTTCAAGCTGTTTCTGTTCCCTCAGGTGGACTTGGCTTGAGCCTCCACGCTTCCAGGTTTCATCTTCTTCCATGTTTTACTACTATTATCAATATATATCCTCCATTGATGCGTAGTTATTCCTTGAAGCTTTACTTTTTCTTGAACTTGTTTTTGTAAGTACTTCTCAGTTTCTGTTGTGGATGAGACCAAAACCACTCTGAAAAAGTACTGGGGTTGGTGAGACAGATTTATGAATCACTGTCCTTATGTTTTTACTTTGTTTTGTCTGGATATATAGCCACTGCATAATTGCAGATTTCTGAAATTAGCGGAAATCAAAAGAAAAAGGAAAAAGTTTTCAAGGTTGCTTTTGTTTTCTCTTTCTAAGAAGCAATCTTGGCTGATAGTGGCTGCCTCCATTTCTTAAAGTATCCTAGTATAATTTAATTTCTACTCGTAACTTCAAACTTGGGGTTAAAAACTAATCCATTACCTGATTTGCAGTGTGCATGATTCAAGGATAACCTTCTCTCCAAACCCATCTCAAGTGCCAGAGACAAAATCATTTGCTAACAAGGAAGAGAATGACAAGCTCTCTTGCTGTGCAGAATGCACTTCAAATTATGAGAAAGAAGCAGAGATGTTTAAGTCCAACCAGCAAAAGCTCTTGCCTCCATGGCTGCAGTCACATGGCCACCAAGAGGTACAAATATTAAAGCATACTATTTATCCTTCGAGGCTTCAAACAATCATCTAGATGAGCCATTTTGTTCAGTTTTCTTACTGTTTTTTGAATTGGCAGGAGGAACTGCTTGAGCTTAAGAGAAAGTGGAGCAGATTGTGCCATAGTTCACACCCAATGGGTAATTTCGCTTTTTGCAGCAACAGAAGCAGCTGGGGCAATTCCAGCAATGCATGGTGGCCTGGTCAGAGTCAGAGTAGCATCTTCCCTGATCCAGTACCTTCAATCTCCTTCTCCAAGCCTCACCATGGCTCCAATCTTGTTGCTAAATTCCGAAGACAGAACTCATGTACCATTGAGTTCAATTTAGGTAAAGGAACTGAACCCAGTTTAGGTTCACTCAAGAACGGTGGGGATAGGGAAGTAAAGATTGATCTCGCTCTCGGAAATTCTCGCTTCTCAGTAAGAAATGAACTGCTGAAATTGCTAGAAGAGAATGTTCCTTGGCAACATGACAGCATTCCATCAATAGTAGAAGCCTTGATGGATGAATCCACAAAGAATGGGACTTGGTTACTGATTCAAGGGAATGACACAACAGGAAAAAGAAGAGTTGCTCATGCCATTGCGGAATCTATTTGCGGTTCCACCGATTCCCTCTTGCTCCTCAACATGGAAAATGGTGATCAGGCAATCCCAACATTGAGGAACAAGGAAAGGCAAGTTGTTCTGGTGGAAAATGTTGATTTAGCCAACACCCGTTCGATAAAATGCCTAGTTGAAGAATTTGAAGAACCAAGGAGAGAAAGCATTGTTCACCAACCCATTTTCATTTTAACCAAGTCTGATCCAGAAGGGGAAAAGAAGGAGCACGACACCGTGATCCAGATGACACTGAAAATCAATGGAAAATATCCAAACTCCGATAACAAGCGGAAGGCAGGGTGGGAAATCTCAACTAATACCAAGACTCCACGAGCCATGAAAGACCTGTCCCTTGATCTGAACATGAAAGCCGAGGAAGATTTTGAAGAAATCCAAATTTCAAGGTTCCTTGATTCCATACCAAACCGCTACATATTCAACCGAAATCCAACTCAAGATCGTGAGATGAAAGAGGAATTTATGGCAAAGATGAGGAGATCAATGGAGGAAACGATCGGCATCGAAACCGAGATCAAATTTAGTGTAGAAGAGAGGGCTTTAGAGGAAATTTTATTGGGGTGTGGTTCTTTTGTAAACAGCCTGTTTGAGAAATGGCTGAAAGACGTTTTTCAAACGAGCTTGGAAACGGTTAAAAAGGGCGGGAAAGAGGGTATAGTTGAAATTAAGTTGTGTTATGGGGGTAGAGGTGAAAAGGCCATGGAAGATGGATTTATGGGATCATGCCTTCCCAACAAAATCCAACTTTCTTTCATGGACTGAGTACAGTACGGACAAAATTTCCCTTGTGTTTTCTTTCCTTTTTTTTTTTTTTCTTTATCTTCATTTGTTTCTTATCATCTCTAGCTTCTTTCTTCTTATTTTCTTTACTTCCTTCGTAAGATTGTTTAAAGAATCATTACTTTTAGGTTAAAACCCATTTTCGTCCTTGAACTATTGTACAAACCCCCGATTTTGTCCTCAAACTCAAAAAATCCCTGATTTGATCTTTACTATTTATCATTTTTACTCCAATTTGGTATTTTCGTTAAAAATCTACCCATGTATCCTTTGACTAACAAAAACCTAATGTCCACGTCAAAACATTATGTCCACGTGGAAAGCTAGCTAGCAAAAAAAATAATGATTTGCAATAAAAATTTTAAAAATTCTTTTTCCTCCATCTTTTCCTTCCTCTTTCCTCTTCCTTTCATCGCCTTCTTCATCAATCAATTTTTCTTCATCAATCAATTCTTCATCGTCATCATCAAACAACATCCACAAAAACACAGAATTTTTTTTTTTTTTTTGCCGAAGAACCCAATGCCTGGGTTCGACGAACTCGACGCTGGGTTCATCGGGTTCCAAGGAACCCAAAGCCTTGTTTCGATGAACCTAGCGTTTGGTTCAATCGAACCCAGGCGTCAAGTTCCAAGGAACCCAGAGCTGGGTTCCAAGGAACCCCAAGCTTGGGTTCAATGAACTTAGCATCGGGTTCCAAGGAACTCAAGGCCTAGGTTCGTCTGAACTCAGCTTCCAAGGAACCCAACGGTTTGGTTCGTCCGAACCCAGAGTCAGGTTCCAAGGAACCTAGGCGTTGGGTTCGATCAAATCCAGCTCTGGGTTCTAAACCCTAAGGGGAAATAAAAAGGGAGGAGAAGAAAAAAAAAAAAAAAGAATTTTTTAAGTTTTTTGTTATATTATTATTTTTTTTCATGTCATTATTTTTTGTCGTGTTGTCTTCCATGTAAGATAATATTTTGACATGTCATCATTTTACTATAAATTAATGGTACACATCATGAGATTTTAACAGAAGGACCAACTTGGGATAAAAATGATAAACAATAAGAATTAAATTATGGATTTTTTTAGTTTAAAAGTCAAATCGAGAGTCTATATAATAGTTTAAGGACCAAAATGAAGTTTTAACATTACTTTTAAAATATATGTGAGTTGGTTCTAAAATATCTCATAAAAAGTTATTTGTAATTAGTTAATAGTTATAAACAATTCTAGGTTTTCCTTCACATTTTAGACCACATTAGTTGTCATCATAACATGGGTTTAGAATTTATAAAGGAGACAAGGAAGAAAGGGAAAGGGGTTTTTTCGTGTTCATTATGGGCAAGTGCAATTCATACATTAAAAGAAAAGAATAGAACATAATTTATTTTGTAATGGGAGGGCTTGGGAGGGAAGTGGAAAGTGAGACATCATACAATTTTTAAAGGACACCAAAATCCATATGTGGATTATTAAAATGGTGATGTATCCTATTCTTTTGACTGCAATCAGTAACCATTCATACCGTGGTCATCATAACTGAGAAAAAGAAGACATCCCTACCTCCACTTCTTCATATTTTGATCATATTATAGCCATGAGTCATGATGTCCTTAAACGGCAGAAGTGGGGTATGTCTTTCTATAATGCAACACCTCATTATTCAAATCTTTTATTGGGCAGGAGTGAAGATGATCGTAATGAAATTGTGGAATTGCTTTATGAAAAAAGGCTCTCAAGTGTCCTACTAATGCCTAGTTTATATGAAAAGGATTGCTACATCATAGGGAAATGATGGATATACCCTTTTTTGGGTTTTTAAGATGATGAATATACTAAACTATGTATATTTTTTTTTGTATGATTTTACTAAGTAATAGTTAGGTAATTATTATAGTTTTTTATTTTAAAAATAAAAAAAGTTAATTTTTGTTTTAATTATAAATACCATGTATTAATTTTTTATTCGTTCATTTTAAAATTAAAATTGAAATTTTTTAAAATTTAAAATCTGATATTTTTTGAAAAAAAAAATGATAATTATGAACTAATAATTATTTTTTTATTATTTAAAAATGAACAAATCTTCTTTGGATATTGAAGAATTATTTAAGATGAAATGTGTTAATTTTCAATGTTCTTGAGTGTCTTTATATTGCAAATCCACATCCTACCATCTCTTAATTATTTCTGAAATAAAAAAAGAAGGGTACGAAAACTTGGCTATGCAAATTTTGTTCCACGGTTTTGTTATCAATGAATTACAAAACACTAAACTATCGAATTAAGAGATTAGGAGAGTTCGCTTCTTTATGTAAGAGGCCCATCTTTAACAATTTATTTTATATAATTTAAATTATACACTATTTATTATTATTAGTAGTAGTAGGGTTTTGTAACACCATGAACAGCAAAATTAGGCAGGATCCGATTAGTTGTCCTTGGCATCTTGTTATACATTATGAAATTGATTATTGTTATTGCATATTGGTCCATTT